TGAGCTTCTTTTTTTTCTTTCAAAGAAGTGTGAATTTTACGTCTGAACTTGAGAATGAAGTGATGGAAACACTTTACAGCCCATGAATTACAGTGTAATTATCAGTACAGATGGAGCATTAAAATATTTACTGGGTTTTTTTACACCAAGGACTTAAATAAATTACACTGTAATTTAATGAATTACACTCCCATATTTGACTCTTGATCCATAAGAAGATATATTTGTGATTTTAAGAACCAAAAACCATCTCAGTGTAGTTTTACATCTCCTCTCTCAGAGCTTCTCTCTGAAGCTCTAGTAACAACAGGTCAGTGAGCAAATCAGAAGAGAGGAGGCTCTGAGCCTCTCTTCTGATTGGCTGAATGTTGTCAGAGTGATCCAATAAAAATATAGCAGATTTCAGGTAAAAAAAAACACCAAATACGCAAGGTTTGGGTGGTGGTGTCAGGTGGGTGGGGCATGGCTGAGAGCAGTGACTGGTTTGTTGTGACATCACAAAGTTAAGAAGTCCTACGGCTGGTTTTAAGGCTCACAGTTTCTGAATACAGGCTGTGTGCATTTCTCTGTGGAACTGAGGCTTTGATACTTTCAAGTATTTATATAGAACCTAGACCTGCTTTATAATCAAAGACCACATGGACATCTACCTTTATACTATATGGACCTTTAATATGGTTTGGTTATCACCGTGTGTGGCAATAATAGATCCTCATACTCCACAATTTGTTTTTATCTAACTCCCGTCTCATTTAGTTTTATAACAGTATTTTTTTTCTGTTCACCTACGTGTGTACTTTAATAACCTGAGCTTGATTCCATAAATTCTCCAACCGCTCTCTTGGCTGTGTAACAGAACATTTCTTCTTATTGTGGGTGGTGAAAATACAGCTAAGAAAGATCATCCTTTATCCTTCAAACAATGTTCGAGTGCTTCACTTCTCTGAGGTGACTTTTGTTTTGTGTCTGTGGGTGAGATGTCTGGCAAGTTGATGACAGTCGACGACCTGACCTAAACTTTGACTTGGACCTGTTGTTGCGCACTCGTCTTTGAATTTCGTGATCTGTTAACAGATATTTTTCTTAATAATTATTTTATAAAATACTGGCATTGAAAACAGGAAAATGTATTGTTGCAGACTTACCGAGGTCATTATTTGTCATTGATGTTAGTGTGGGGTGCACAATGAATATCATTTTACTACGAAGCGCCATGACATACTGCTGCTTTCAATTAGGCCTATGATTTTTCAAAGAGAGCCTACACTTTGACTCAGCGGCCAATTAGGCAGTCGATTAACACTAGTGCCGATTCAATTATTCATCTGAAAGACCCTTCAGGTGCAGAAGTGTGGAGCTGGAGAAGGCCAGAACAGATGTTGGATCAGTGTACGCATGGATGCATAGGTTCAGCAGTGGTAGCTGCAAGGTCTGACAGGATTAGTTTTTCCTGCAAAAACTTAAATGCAAAATGAGCATTAGATTATCTTCAGGGCGTTATACATTTTCAACTTTTTCTTTTAAACGTCACTTCTGTTGGTCTATATGCTTGCATTCATTATTTCAAGTGTGTTATAATGAAAGTGAAGGCCTATGACTATTTGGACCACAGAAAACCACAGATGAACAAGGATGCTAAATTGCAGCTTAAGTTTTAGCGGTGAAATATATACAGTGTATAACATAATGACAGATCAATACTTACTGCGTATGCAATAAGGCCTGGGTACCCGTTTCTTAATGCTTACTACACATATTAACAAGGAAGTTCATTTTTTTGTTCTTTTTTTTGTGATAGTAGAATTTAGGGCGGAAAAAAAAAACCCCTCCACTAGGATAAAGACTTCGGATGGCATAAATCATGCCCCCCTTACCGAAGAAAAAATTGAAACAAAACAATTTTCATTAACTTATTTATGCACTTCTGACCTGATATTTTTTAATAGATTTTCACCTTATCGTCTATTATAATCAAAGCTGTGAAACGAAACCACAACCGGTGACAGACAACAATAGGAACTTATTGTTTTAGTCACTGTTGATGAAATATAGCACGTCGGAAAAACTCTTTAACTCTAAAACCATGCTATGCGTCTCACTCTCTTCCCAGTATTAGCTGGCAAGAGAGTAAGGGCCTCTTTGCTCATATTGCCAGCGCTGGGAGGATTGTAGCTGAAAAGTGACCTTACACACTTGGTGTCAGGTTGAAAAGAAAAAAAATCTCTTTTTAGTGACAATTTGAAACGGCGCTCAATTTGACCCTGAAACACCACATTAAAGCTTTAAACCCTACAGAGTCAAAACCAAACACTCTGCAAACCAGCTTTATATTTTTGCCAATTCTGAGCTCATCTTATTCAGGTCAATATCCCCAGTATTAATCCATCATATGATTTAGGGCTTTGCCCCTTCTCTCTGGTTGCAGGCTCTCACCCCCAAGGCACCATCTAATACCTTCGTGTGCTGCACAAAACGCACCTAGAGAATGGTTAACAAAACGAAATAAAAAAAAAAAATCCAGTCTTGAAAAGGAGACTTCCCCCCCTGGTCATTTCAAACGTTGCCCCATGAACAAGCTGAGACTCTCACAGCTTCCAGCATTCGACCTCACCGTGCTCTCCGTCCCCACTCCACACTTCCCCCCCCGACTTGGAAACTGAAAACATTACCTGAGCGATTCACACTCTTATAGATGTTTCCACGGTCATCTTTATTTCGCGTAATTTGGTGTTTATTTGGTGGGGTAAAAACGGCTGCTCTGCTTTTTCATGCCGCAAATCTATTCTAAGAAGTCAAGAATAAACAACTGACAGTTCAACGTCAGAGGACAGTCCAACAGTCTATTTACAGTCTTTTTCATGCTGCTTTCAACTGTTTTCAGTGCTCTGTGCTTCAGTCCAGGGACTCACCTGCCAGCACCCACTCTCCTAATGATGACACAGTATCATCAGGGGAGCTGTAATGATTTGTAATTATTACCTCAGGACTCCATAAATGATATGTTGTCCAGACCAAAGAGCCCCCACAGATTAAGCTAGGTAGCTGCTGTCTTTAGAGTTAGCTCTGACATCTGAGAGTAACCTCACTCCAGCTGGAACATTTCGGTCTTAGATTTGAAGATCTTTTTATTCTGCTGAAAGTTTTATTATGAACATTCAAAAATATTCAGCCTTACATTTGATCGTGGTTCAAGGTGGAAAAACAAAGGTGAAGTGTTTGGTCAGTCATTTTGAATTTAAATACAGAATATGATAATGAGTAGAATCAGCAGCAGAACCAAGATGAGTACAATCTCCATCCTTGCTCCAGTCAGGCTCCACCTGTGTACAAGAACAGAGACAGTTCATGAATTTCAAAAACAGCAGTTATGAAAGATTGAAAACAAATATGAATGTTTATACACGGCCTGAAGACTCAACATGTGACATGGTCTGCAGAGTTACCAGGTCTGAACCCTTTTGAAAACCTCTGGGAGATTTTGAGGTGACGTGTTAAACGACTTTTCAGATTGGATTTATTCCTCTGTTGGAGGTGGGGTGATATTAACATTACATGCACTGGTCAGTGATTTTTAATCTTGTCTGGAGCACATACAGACAAGATGAGACTGTGACTTTGTGTGTCACAGTGTCCCCTCAATAAACAAAACAAAATCTTTTAACAGTTGCTTGTTCCATGTTGAGAAAGTCCAGGTATTCCTCCAGCCACTAGAGAAGTATTGCAGCATCCTGTTTAAAAGAATTAGTCTTTTAGTAGACAACACTATTGTCTAACGTTTTGGCCCAGCAAGCATGCTATTGGACAAACAGGAAATTTTACATTAAACTAGAATCACCGGCTCATGGCTGTTTTGTCTACCAAGCAGCCAAGACGAGGAAATGCGTTCAAAATCACCTCTTCCTGAGTTACAGCGCTGAATAATGACCAAAGGTGCTTTTGCAGAACATTATGATGTCACAGTGAAGTTGACCTTTGACCATTTGGATATGAAATGTCATCAATTCATTTTATCCTTACAGACATGTGAGTTAAACTGTGTCATACTGTAATTAGTGGATTAATTTTGAGAGTTATGGCCAAAAACATGTTTTGTGAGGTCACAGTGAGCTTGACCTTTGTCCACTAAAATGTAATCAGTTCAAAGTGAGTGTTTGTGCCAAATCTAAACAAATTTCCTCCAGGTGGTCTTGAGATATCACATTCAAGAGGCTAAAACGGGTGTTTTGTGAGGTCACCGTGACTTTCATGATCGTTTTTCTTCTGTTTTGTTTTTTAATCAACGTGAAATTTAACTTTTGTTTGAAAATGCATTTGCTTACATTTTGGATTGGTGTTATTAAAAGAAGGCTGAATTAGCTGTTTTGCAGTTCCTTAAGCAGCTTTTATTTCTAAGTTGATTTATGTACGTGTATTATAATAATGATACTCTGAATGATATCACTCTATGTTTTATGTCTTTGTTAAGACTTGATAGAGTTATGACTCAGAGACTTAAATTCATTCATTCCCTCTCACACTCACCAGGACTTTTGGCTTTGTCCTGCTGAATGCTTTCTCTTTTGTTTGAACTTTGTCACTTGGATGAACAAAACTGTGCTTCAAAGTGCTTCACTCCTTTGTACTGCTGCCATTTGTTTATCCTGTTGATTCACATTTCAACACCTCTGTGTCCCTGCACCCGAGACACAGAGCTGACGACCTGCTGAGATGATTTGTCTCTAACAAGGTATACATGACTGTAGAAAGCAATGCAAGAGAAAGATACTTCCTGCCTCTCTCCATGGTCACTTGTCCTGACAGTTTGGAGAAACATTTTGTCCAACTTTTATTCACGTTATTCAAAAATACATTTCTTATCCTCAAGAAGAGAGTTTTTGAATTATGATTATTGTCTGTCACAGAACATATTCTGCAATTTCATGATGCATCTTGGTGCTCCAACATTTACATTTACAGGAGATGTGTTTTTAAAAACAATTGCAGACCTTCCACTTTGAATAGGAGGCATTACATTGAGACCAAACAAAACTAGTATAAACACCTCATATAAGCATATTGCACATTAATTCACAATCTCCATCCAATCCCCCTCCCCCATCCCCCCAACTAAAGATTAAACTGCCAAATGCTCACCTGCTGCTAAATGCATTTAACAATTTACAGCCTGAATACATTTGGCTATCCATTTAGGTGATGGTCTTTGTTGCACTTCATTTGCGTTCATTAATATTCATAGGATGTCAATCTGTTCGGGTTGTTACACTGGAAGACACCAGAGGATAGAAGATGGTAGATAAGGAAAACGTATTACTGGCTGATAACTCAGTTTTCATCATCTACAATCTGATAATATTTCTATCTGACTTTTATTATTAAGATTTTGGGTGGAGAAGTGGAAGAGCACAGCAGAGACTATTACAGGATATATTTATGAGTGGAACTAAAGTTCATCATCCTTGAGCCAAGCTCTCACTTAAACCACAGTGATAAGGATTGTGGATAAGTGTCAATCACTTAATATGATCAAAGTCTCCAAACTACCTCAAGACCACATGTGCAAAGTAGCAGATTCAGAATGAAAACGAATCCGAAACCCAAAAACACCTAAAAATGAGTCCATTTATCAGGGATGTAGTCTGAAACAGTCCCATCAACTAAAACACATAACATATACATACAAAAATATTGTCACCCAACTCAGCAGCTGCCCTCAGCTCTGCAGAATATTTTAGCATCTTTCAGCTTATTGTTTTGGTTTTCATAGCCTACAACTTTAATGTTTTGGTTCCCTCTCATCAACCTCGTTGAACATACTGGAACATTTAAAAGCTTAAGTGGCAGACATTTTTTAGCAGGTTTAAGCTGATTTTTTAACCACCCTTGTGTGTTCTCTCCAGGAAACTCGGCTGGCAGTGTAAAAGGAGTCAATTGCCTTTTTTAATACCCACAAATTTTGGTATAAAAAGTGTTGGAGCCTTTGTGTGAGAAGCTTCAATTGGTTATTGTGTGTTTTTAAAACTTATTTCAGGGCTGCAGCTCACTCTTTCATCCCTGAGCACAGTGCAGCTTGCTCTGTCTCCGGTGTAACAGCACCGCGCTGAACAGGTGACAGGTGTGTTTACAATCATTATGTTCTTAAAAACTGAAAAGGGGCAAAAATTTGTGTGTTTACCGTGGGGTTGTGTAAGTGTTTTTTTTTTTTCGTCAGTGGAAAAAAGGGGCTATTAGATGCATTTGGTGTCCAGAAAACTTGATGGTAAAAGAACACTAATGTTTCCTCTGTCTGTTGGATCTGTTAAACTGTTTGCCATAGAACCTTTGTAATGTGATTACACTTACTTAGCACTTTATTAGGAACACCATACTAGTACTAATAAGATCTGTCAGCTGCACATTCATGCTGCCAATCTCCTGTTCTACCACATCCCAAAGGTGTTCTACCGGATTCAGATCTGAAAACCAGGGAGGTCACTGATACCCATGTTCATACAAAACTAGTTTGAGATGACTTTAGTTTTGTGACGTGGAGCGTGATCCTGCAGGAAGTAGGCATTGGAAGATGGTAAACTGGGGCCATGAAGCAATGATACTCAGGTAGACTGTGACATCCAGACCATGATTGATTGGTTTAAAGGCCCAAAGTGTGATACTATTGATGCTACTGTAACACTGTTTTTTTTTGCTTGCAGTAGGATCTGTGTGGAGTAGTAGTGTGAAGATCAATATCGACACAGACTTTAATACTGCAATTAACATGTTACAGCTCCCACCACATGTCCTGTCCCGGGGGCTGAACATTAGATTTTTCCTTGTTGTGATTTATCATATCTCATGAGAGTAGCTGAATACTGACTTCAGTTAATTAAATTCAGATGAAGAAGAGATTGTTTAGATGATTCTCACCCTGTGCGTCCCAATCCTCCACCCGTACCAGTCGAGTTGTCGACAGCCCGATCTCTTGGCTGGTGGTTCCCAACCTTGGGGACAGGAGCACCACAGGGGGGCAGCAAGATAAGATGAGTGGGTCACAGGATCATTAACAGTTTAGGTAAGCAGAAAAAAACATTACTCTAATCTTTTTCTTCCTCTTATCTCTGTCTCTAATTTTCAGGATTGAACTGGTCAAAGGTCACCAGTGACAGGGGTTCACAACCAGACACTACAATGTTTATATGGATCAAAATGTTGATGAGTATATACTTACAGAACGTATGGGATAATACTGATCACCATACAACACAACAGACTCCAAACCATGAGGATCGGTCTCGCACTGAACCTGTAAAGCAACGGATCATAAACAGAAAACAGGAGTAAACGTGTGTTTTGTTAAAGAGCCAATATGCCAAAGATGTTTAGAAGTGTGTGTGTGTGTGCGTTTGAAACTGAAACAATGCAGTGTGACTGAACAACATAGTCTTCCCAAATCCCAAAAGTGGGATATAATTAAACTCACGGGAAAGGCCAACTCCTCTGCCACAATGGGAAGTACCTGATCAAGAAAACAGCAGGACCATATGTTATTTTAGAATTAGTGTCCAAGTTTGTTGTTTGTCAACCTTCAATCTCTTAAACTCTGCCATACTCATTGATTGGAACTGATGGGAGTTTAGTAGATAATAGATATGACATACATACATAATTAGAACACCAACAGTTTAAGAGGTTACTTCAATGTTGACTGCCTAAATGACGGGTCAAGAAGTGTTTCATTTCATATCGTTCGACGCGGCATGAGAACTGCTGTATGGACAAACTCTAAACAATTTGCCATGTAAAATCACTAAAAACACTGCCCTGGTTAACTATAGCCCGACAAGAAAAACCAGTTTCTTTAATCAAAAGAGGAGATACTGTGTCATTATCTTATCGTGTATACATGTATGCATACTAACTTGTTAAATAAACGAAAGCATGTTGAACTACTGCAATCGTGTCAGCATAGGCAGACACCGGCATTTTAAACACTTAGATAACAGCATTAACCTACCATTTTAGCGCAGATTTTGAGCTGTTGTGACTACAACTTTGCAAATTGTCGGTTAGCTTTTATTTAGCTGTGATGCTAACTTCACTGCGCAAGCGCTCAGTGAATGTTTACAGGAAGTGATGATCATTCTCGCGATACAAGGGAGACAGAGACCATCTTGCGATCTTGCATTACATCACCAGACTAAATTAGTTTTGCTCTGCGCCAAAAACCCCAAGAATCCAGAGATTTCCTTTTTAGGTTTTTGTAAGAATCTGGATCATATCTGGAGATTTTTTATCGATATGACATCTTAGGTCATCTGTGATTGGAGCACATCCAGTCCAGAATTCATCATATATGGCTTCATATTTTGAAATATCTGGGCAACGACATCTATTTTGCGTAATTTTTTTAACGATTTACCCTGAATCTAAATTGGAATGCTCAAGTTACATCAACAAGTTAAAGACTGGGTTTGTACTAAATAAATTAAGCTTTTCATTAGTTCAGAGAGGGCAGTGAAACTCATTTAGAATCACTATTTAGAATATGAGCTGCTGGTTCTCTCTTTGTTGATTTCTAATGCCAACTCCTTCCTCCACCCTAACCTCCTGCTTATGTGATTAAGTTTTGGTATTTCATTCTCACTCAGCTCTAATGTTCGTGCATGTTTACGGCTATCTCTGGTTCTCTACCATTACACGTTAATGGGATTAGTTCCTCAAACAGCAAAAGACACTAAAGCCAAGACACTTCCATCAATTCCTCAGTGTCAAGTGTCTCTGACAAGTATAACATGAAACCTCAGAAGAAGAATTGGAATCTCAGCTTACCTGGGATGTAGAGCTGAATCACTTCCTGAATAATTTCCTGTTTTACTGTTTCCAAGCGATAAGAAACTTATCTTATCTTTAACTTAAACTTGTCTTATATTCCATGTATTGCTGATGTTTTCTTCTTAGTCCAGAGAAACTAAAAAGACTCCCAAGTTCTTATTGGTGACACATCCTTACATTAAAATAATGCAAAACTGAGGAGGATGCCCACAGTCTTTCATCTCTTTGATGTGTTGGGCTGGGCTGATGGGTGTCATTGTTTCATCTATAGATGACAAATGATATTATTTTGTCATTTAAACAGTCTTGTGCTAAGGTGGTCTTCACTAGATGATGATCATCTTTCATCTTCTTTTTAGTCATTTTATGATCTCACTATCCCGTCGGTTTTCTTGCCATGATTTTGATTCCTGCCGTCGTCTTCTTAGTTTTACTTTTTTATGATTGTATCAGTCAGTCCAGTATTTGTAGTTCCATTCCATTGGGGCCAATGTCTGTCATAAAAAGGAAGAAAACTTGTATTACAAATGAGTAGAAATGGGAAAATTGTTCAGTTGTTTCTAAAATCCTTCAACCTCTTCTCAAGCTGAACTGCCAGAGTTGGCTGTCTAGGCTTGGTTACAGGCTAAAACAATAAAAGTATAGAATATATCATCTTAACTCCAAACTGTTGAGTAGAGATGAACTTTGTAATTCTACATATGTATCTCATTATTCTAAAACCAAAATAACAAATACAAAAATTCTCTAAAATCATCTTCACAATTGCTTAGAAAAAAATACTTGTACACTGTATGGAAATTCAAAATTTCTTACTTTATAGAGAAACTTTACCTTGTTAGTGTGCCTATGTTCGTGTCTCTTGATAGTAATGTCAGACTGCCAGATGTATCACTGGGTGTAGGACAATGAGTGTTGTTAGTCCTGCAGAGTTCCCTGTTTCCTGTGGGTGGAATTTGACTTTTATCACAGGCAATATTTTTCCAGTCATTTATCTTACACCCTTCCTGCTCATGTTTACAGAGATTTGAGATTTGCCCTATGGGAATGTGAGTAATACTCCTGCGGGATATTTTAAAAAGTTAGCTTTTTGTGTGTGTGTGTGTGGTAGTTGGGTGATGGCAGCGGGAGAGGAGTGCGAAGTTTTACTTTATTAACTATGTCCAAAAATCACAGGAAGTGAAAAAAAAGAGGCAGGGATCCAATGAAAACTGGAGAGCAGGTTACGAACACGGGAAAACAGAGCAACTCTAAACACAAAGCACAAAGCAAATGTGAAAACTAAAATAAAACTAAGTCCTGAACTGGGAGCAAAAACAGGAGGAGGCAAAGCACTGGAAAACTCTGTCAAGGAGTAAAGGTGAACACAAAGGCTGACACACTCATTAATCTCCGAGGAAGGAAACACTGTAGGGCGGAAAACACTGTAGGGGCAGGAAACAACAGCACAGACATACAAGGAAACTCATTTCAAAATAAGAACAGGAAATAGAGTCCATGCAGATCATGACAAACCAAGTAGAGGTAAAATTAATTATTTAAAAATGGTGACATATGGTGATAATAATGATATATACGATAAAACTATTAGAACATCTTTAGGCTGCCAACTTCATTGAACAATAACAGTGGTCATTTTACACAGCAGTGCACCTGTCAACACACTGCCAACCTGGACCTATAGCTCTCAGCACTTACTGCTACAGCTGTAGGAGCTTAGAGAACATGCAGCAGTGGTCGTTGATAATCTTTTTTCTTTTAATCTTACTATGTCGGAATGACAGTTCCACATTGAGCTATAACGTCCAAGAAAGAAACCCCCCCCCCCCAACCTGAAGATGCTTGTTATGTTGAGAGTGAATGACAGACGAACGGTCACATCAGGCTGCGTGTTGCAATGTGGCACAGCAGCAGCAGGTACCCCTAGACTCACTTCTTTTCTTGTGCTTTTATTTTGTAGGCAAAATAAAAGCACAAGAAAGTTTGTTTTTTTTGGCAGCGTTGCTTTATTTCAAGCTATCTGGAAATCAGTCAGATGTATTTGTATGTGACTGTGGGCCACAGCACCACATGTGAACAGTGACAAAATAAATCCCAGTCGCATTTTTATCAATCCATTTCTTAAATTGGACTTTGATGATATTCTCACCCGCCAACTAATGAGTTAAAAAAAATTGGCCTGAGGTCAAACTTACTTGCCGACCCCTGACAAACACTGACAGGAAAAGAACATGAGACAAACAAAGTCAGGGAAGTCCTGCAGCTTCAAAATCTCTGAGTAGAAAACCACAAACCTGAAGAGACGCCTTAACGTTAAAGATGTTCAATAATGTTACATTACCTCGAAAACCATATCAAGCCAGATACTGAGGGCAGTGGTATAATGTGTATGAGCATCTCACAACAGCAGCACATTGCGACATTGCTTGCAGATGGGAGTGTAAAGTCAGTAGCCCAGCAAACTAAGCTGGCTAACCTTTTGCTGAAGACAAGTTTGTTTATTTTAGAGTGCTAAACATGCTAGCCATGCTAAAGTATTGTGATGGCAAAAGTCATATTTAAAGTGTAATCATTTATCTACATCTTATGCACTCGTGTTTTCATTATTTCAGTATGTACTCATGTATTTTTGTCATCATTTGTGGAAAACATTAGTGTCTAATTGAAATGAAATGCTAACCTGAACTCATGTCAGCGTGTTCTGGGAGAGGGGCCAGAGATCGTAAAATTGACTGGAAGGGAGATTATTTTCTCAAGAACTTAGTGCACACATGGGCCCGTGGGCTGTCTCAGTCCGGCCTGCGACATCCACAGAGGAGAAAAGAAAAGAAGAAAAAAAAAAATCCCGCATTATAGAGGCATATGAGTTTGAACTGCTATACGATCTGATTGCAACAGAGGGCGCTATTTTAATTTGGAGTGGGTAAAAATGCACTTCCTTGACTCTTGCATAGACAGTTCGATGATCATCAGGATGAGTGCTGTGAAAAAGGGAAAAGTTGATTCGGAATGTCGTATTTTTTAACACCGAGTGGACTTATAAATATTTTGTTACTCATGTGGGTTCAAAGGCTGTATGCCTGATATGCCAAAATGCAATTTCTGTTTTCAAAGAATATAATATTAAGAGACATTTTTCGACCAAGCATGCCAACTATGCCACCAACTTATCGTCGCGGGAGAGAGAACAAAGGGCCCTGAAATTGTCCTCCGATTTAACCGCCCGTCAGAATATTTTTGTGAGGCAGACAGCCATACAAGAGACAGTCACAAAAGTAAGCTACATGCTGGCTCATAAGCTAGCCAAACACAGCAGGTCGTTCTCAGAGGGTGAGTTTTTGAAAGACCCTATGGTTGAGACTGTGCCCTGACAATAAAAGTCAGTTTGAAAAAATCAGTCTGTCTCGTCGGGCCGTTACCAGGCGTGTGGAAGTGATTGATGAGCAGTCTCACTGAATCATAGTAGTTAATTGAGTTGTTAATTGTAATATTCATGAGTATGATCATGTATTTGTTTAAAAGGGGCTAGTGAATAACACAATCAAGGCCACCAAATCTATGTACCGGTAGTTCAAAGTAATTCTGCACTAAATATTTCATGTTTAAATTTTATTTCCAATTGTGTGGCCCTTCACTTACTTTAACGGAGTCAGTATGGCCCACTGGAAAAAAATATTGCCCACTAATGACTTAGTGCATAATTGTCTTCACAAGGGACGTGAGGTTGTTTCTACTGCTCCATAAAAAGGTAGGATTTGGGGAGTTGACGTTTGCGACTATCTGCAGATATTCCGTCTGCCACCGAGCACTCGGGTTCAAATACAATATACTCTGAACTAGCAAAACTGTCTCAAGAATGATCTTTCGGCATGTACAACTTAATTGCCATAGACATGTGATGGTCAGGTCTTGTTGATTTTAAATGCAGCTAAACATAAACCATTTTTGACACCTGCTGGTTATTAAAATGTACAGCACATTATGTAGAAGAGGTTTTGGGCTTGAATAAATTCTGGCAGTAGCCAGCTGTTGAGTACTTAGCTTAGCTTGTGTTGTGTGCTAAAAGGTTCCTTACAAATGAATTGATCTATTTAGTAAAACAAGTTTATGTATTTATTTGTACTGTGAATAATTACTGAGGAAAGCTTACATGTAATTTGGACTCTGGTTGACGTTTTTTATTAATAACCGTAACCGCTCTCAGCCATGCCCCAAGCCCCGCCCACCTGGACCCACCACCGGACCATGCAGGATTTGGTTGCTGTGAGTATTTCACCTGAAATCTGCTACATTTTTATTGGATCACTCAGAAAACAGTCAGCCAATCAGAAGAGAGGCTCAGAGCCTCCTGTCTTCTGATTGGCTCACTGACCTGTTGTTACCAGAGCTCCAGAGAGAAGCCTGAGAGAGGAGATGTTAAACTACTCTGAGATGGGTTTTGGTTCTTAAAACCACAAACATATCTTCTTATGGATCAACACTTAAAAAAAAAATATAAATACAATAAAACACAGGAAAGGTGTAAATTACATTGTAATTTATTAAATCAATTAAAGTGTAATTTATTTAAGTCCCTCCTCAACATAAAGTATTTACCCTCTATTCCCTAACCTCGTCTCTTCTTCCGCTGTACTTATGTATTTGTCTTGGTGTAAATACCAAGTAAATATTTTAATGCTCCATCTGTACCTGATAATTACACTGTAATTCGTGGGCTGTAAAGTGTTACCATCACTTCATTCTCACAGTTCAAACATAAATCCACTTCTTTTTCACCAGTTCTTTTCTGAGTCAAGAATACACCACTGACAGTTCAACGTCAGAGGACAGTCCAACAGTCTATTTACAGTCTTTTTCATGCTGCTTTCATTGTTTTCAGTGCTCTGTGCTTCAGTCAAGGGACGCACCTGCCAGCACCCACTCTCCTAATGATGACACAGTATCATCAGGGGAGCTGTAATGATTTGTAATTATTACCTCAGGACTCCATAAATGATATGTTGTCCAGACCAAAGAGCCCCCACAGATTAAGCTAGGTAGCTGCTGTCTTTAGAGTTAGCTCTGACATCTGAGGGTAACCTCACTCCAGCCCGAACATCTCAATCTCAGATTTAATATTTTATCATGAACACGGAACAACATTCAAAACATTTAGAGTTACATTTTGATCCCGGTTCAAGACGCAAAAACACAGGTGAATAAATTCTGTACTTGACGATGTGTGTATTTATTCTCTAATGATCGGATCGCCCCTTGTATTTGTTTGACAGCTTCACTCGTTTTATGACCTGAGCAATGAGACAAATGTTTGGAAGAAAAGAGAGGTCGGGAGAACACCCACTTCAGTGGCAAAAATATATTTATATTTTAAATTAAAAAATTAAAAAAAATTAATAGATAAAATCAGGAGGCCGATTGTTGCAATGATCGCCATCCACGGTCCAGTCTGACTCCACCTGTGTACAAGAATAATTATAGCTGCAATTACACCGACTGTTTTACTGTGAACGGACTGGTCCTCCATTAACTTAAATCCTATCTGGAGCAAAGTACTTGTAATCTGCTAACATGCTAACAACCAACGCATGAGCTGAGTTTAGAGCAAACATGATGACAGAAAAATTTAAACCATTCTGAGATCAACAGCCAATCGAATGGGCTGTTGTAAGTACGTCAGTTCAATATATAATCTATAATATTTATATGATGAACTAATATATGATAGACTATAAGTTTGATGATTATTGTGATAACTGTCGTTACATCATTGGCCACAATAATCAAAAATTTTATACACATCCTTACACGGCACCAGGTGGTACCAAACTGCAGACTATAATATTTCTTTGCTTGTATCACTGAACTACAAACTGTAATACTGCAATTACCATGTTACAGTCCCTGTGCGTGTAGTTTCACTCAGGCAGAAA